ATAATTCAGCACAGAAATAAAAACTTGCTGACTTTGGAACTTTTCCAGAAATGTAGATTTCCTAAATATGCAACTACATCAAGAATTGCACACAAAGAAAAAATACAAACTGACCTGTGAGGTCTGGTAATATCTGGAGATACTAAATACTGTGATAAGATTCAAAGTAAATACTGGGCTTGGAGCTGCTTTAAGAAGCTGAACAGTAAATGCTAACTGACAATGTATGGTGAAAAAGGAAGCCATTTATCAACTTTGAGCAGAGACACTTGATAACAGAGACAGAGATAATAGAAGCAGGTTCCTGGAGCCATGCAAAACTACCATCTGCATGTTTTGGGGATGAGGATTATTCATGCTGAGAACGGACTGTTCTTTAAATAAATGTGCAAAAGGCAGCATCTGTGTGAGTGTGAAGGATCTGGGTAAATGTTTAGGTAGCAGTAACGCAGAGACTAAAACATATTTTTTACAAGAAATCAATGGAATTGTAAGGACAGCAGTGTCAGTCCATTTTATAGACAAAATACAAAGCACAGCTTTATAGACAGTGCATGTGCATAACGGCCCTGTCTGCAGAGAAAACATGTCTATTATCTGATGCATCAATGAAGGCAGAATCTCACGACAGCAACCGCAGATCAAATAAATGTGTATTTTTATTAACAAACAAAGAATAAACTATTTTAGGTCCATTTTTAGTGGTTACTATGTGGAAAACATTAAGGATTCAAATAGAGGCAATAATGGGCAAACATGCTCTCCACTGAAACACAAACCGCTGGAATGTCTACTATAGTTTAAAGGTCACTCACGCACCCACACAAGCTGTTTTATCATGGGGGGTTTACCTGCGGTCATTGCCTAAAACGTCAAAGAAGCCCACCTCCGGCGAAGCATCAGGATTATAGGGGCCCAGCAGAACCTGTTTGTGGAGAGCCACCAGTCGGAGCTTCTCCTCATAGGTGGGATGGAACGCTTTGCCATCTTTATCTGTGAGAAGCAACACAACACAATTTACTATCAATATCCGGTTGGCACAAATGTTCTCGAGTCAACACTCGGCCTGATTGTTGGGTACAACAAGGTCAGAGCAACAGCAGCAGCAGTTTAATAAAACAAATAAGATGTATCAAATTTATATTTCATTAACAGGGAGAAAAGTGTAACATTCTTCTTCTTTCAGTAGCTGAAACATTAAAAAGATGAGGATTTTGGGAAAAACCTTGATATACAAAACTGACAGACTGTTAACATACACAGAACATGAGGATTTTTACATCACGTTTCCTAATGTAACAATTCTAGGATTTAGAAAGATTACAAAGTTATTGCATCTCAAAAGTACCCACATGAACTGGCCTGTTTACTGAGGCATACCACAAAAACAATGTGTATTTACATAGTAATGATGTTACAGATCAATCGTTGGAGGACAGAAGGAGGACAGGAGAATAAGAGGAATATCTCAGTTATAGTCGGGGGGTTATTCTTTCTTCCAACAAGTAAATGAAACTAGATATAATCAACACACTCAGAATGAATGTCCTGCTCTGTATAAAAGTATATAGAGAATAATTTGAGGAATAACCTCTCTGAAAAGAGGCTTATGATTATGTCCTAAACGGTATACTGTGAGGCACACAGTCAAGTAGATAGCATTTTTAAAAGATAAATATTAATTGAGCTACCATTTTAAGGTGTAAACTTTACATATTTCTGCTGTGGTGGGTTCCGAGGAAATAAGTGACTAATGTAAAAGGTTTCTGGAAAAAAACAAATCAAGACCACAGTTTGAATGGGGGAGTGAAAACACGCTGCCCGGAGTCTCGAGTATGGGAGTGGTGCGGATATACATGGGAAGGCAGTAGAGCAGTCAAACAGGCTGGGCCCAGGACTGTGGAGCAGTTTTAAAAATATTTCTACTTCCTTAAACACTAAACTGACTGTGGATTTCGTTGCATGCAAGTTGACTGTCCGACTCTGTTGTGTCAAAGCAGTAGATGATGATTCACATCTTTAACTATCTGTCCTATCTGGACGTTTGCAGTCGTACAATTCGACCTCCCTACAACACGTACCTCACTGGACAGTCGTAGAACAAGTCCGGTGACTGTGATCACTGTAGAATAAATACACCAAGTAAACAGACAATGTCCAGTAGACATTTAGTCCACAGCCAAACGTTTTTTTTGTTTAGTTTTTTCTGCTTTTTAGCCTTTAATGGCACGTTAGCCAGTGGTAATCTGTACGGCTATGGGACATTGCAGCTGACAGAAGTGACAGTTAGCCGCTAATGATAGCAACATGCTAGCACCACCGAGGGCTACGTCTCACAGATTTAAGGCTCAGCACCGACAGTACGGTGTGTTTGCGTTGCTGCTGTGATATTATAGAATGTGTACTCACAATACCTTTAAAAAATTTCAGCGCCATCCCGTACAACTCCAGCAGAGGAAACCCCCATTTCCCCTCTATAGCAGACTTGGCAGTCTCTCCATCTTCGCCCTCGTCGGCTCCCGGCGTCTCGGTCTCGGGTTCCGTGGGTTTGGGCTCCGGCTCTTCCACCTGACTCTGCTCACCCTCCGAGTCTGGACTAAGAGTGAGGCCATCGATGGAAACTTCGAGCCGGCTAGATGCAGCACTGTCGAGGTCGCCGCTCTGAACCTCTGTCGCCATGATGTAGACTGTCAGCTGAAGCGGCCACGTACCTACTTCCGTTTAGACTTGGCGGAAGTTCCGGGAGATTTTTTTTTTCACCACCCGATGTAAATAATGATGACGTTGTGGACGAGTATAGAAACAGAATCAACTTTACATACAGTTTGTGTCCCTAAATTCTTCTCCTACTTGATGTACATGCACATAAAAGGACAGTAACGACAACCAAATGAACATTTTTAAATGAAGTCAATCATTAATATAGATTCATACAGAATAATACATATAGTACTATACGTTATTTTAAGAATTGTCTCATATCATAATATTTAAAGCATACTGCTGAATATAACGTATAACTTGATTTCCTTTCATTTTTTATAGTTACCCTTTCTCCCCTACAGGGGGAGAGAGCACATATAACTACATTTGTACAACATAATTCAACAAAAGTAGAAATTGTAGTTATATTTAATTATACAGGCTTAAATATGATCCTGCTTGAATACTAATTTGGGTACTATGTCTTACTATACTACACTATACTTTTTGCATTGAACACATGCTTCTATTCAAACAGACATAGCCTTATTTTTATTCTCCCCAAATACAAAACACTGCAGTGGTAACAAAAGCATTTAGAAGCTGACATTTTAACATGCATCTGTAAACTTGTCAGGATCATTTTCCTGTCTGTCTGCAGGTTGGATGTATAATTGTTCACATCAACAAATTGTAAATTGTCTTTAAACTCTTTCAAGGTGTGAACGTGCTTGTGTTTGTGTCTACAAGAGGCAGCAGCCAACTGGAAATGGCCAATAAAATCACCAAGTGTTATTTACTGTCTGATGTTCGGAAGTGCAGTCAGTTTAGATTAATTTACAGTGCAATAATCAAGTTTAAAACAATTCATTAAATGTGAGACCTCTATTATTATGGGTTTTTAAATTACAAATAATGATTAGATACAAATGGAAAAGCAAAAGTGTGACAAAAATGTGTTGATTTTACATAGATCCTTCAGAAAATGTGCACTTCATTGTCCCTTCATCTACCGGCCACGATTGGAAAACCTGTCATTGAACATTACAAAGTCCAGGAACTTCAACAGCCTGATTTAGCATAGCAATCTGGTCCGTGCACACAGGCAATACCCAATTAGGGCCTTGACACAAAGCCGCTTTTGAACTGCGAGTGCCTTTGACAACAATCTACACCTGAACAATGTGTCAAAGTGTAGAGATCAATAAGGGCTTTTGTGCATAAGAAATGATCCAACAAGGGTCAAGAAGTGAGTTTCCCACAGTGATCATCATGAGAAACCAGAGAAGAGTGCCATTCAGAGTTAACCAGACACAACATTGTGAGAAGTTAGTGATATAATGGTGATACATTAGTATTGTGATTTTATACTGGCTATGATCAACTATTCTTCATAAATGTATGGGTCAAATAAACAACAAAATAAATGGGTGCACCACAATACTACAACTGGTTGTAATTATGAATATGATAACAATTAAAATAATTACAGAAAAATTAATTTTACCAAAAAATGCGGCCAGCCAAAGTTCTGGCCAATGAATTCTGAGATGGAGAGGATGTGGTAACGGATGTGGTCATCTCCGGCTTTTTATTGCCATAATTATGTTGAACCAAACCTAAAGTGATGTAACATGAGACAGATTAAATTATGTAATATTTCAAGTATGTAAAAGAGAAACAAACACCACAAAATCCAAAACATCCTGACCACCAAAGGGAATGGCTGCATTGCATGTCATGTCAAATACATTGTAGTAAATTAGTCTGTCTGTGATGTTATCTGATCTTTTGACTTGATCCCCCTCTGAAGCAAATGAAAGCAAGCCATTCAATAACAAGTGAGCACTTCTCAGTACTTTTGAACAGAGCTTTGTGTATTCAGATGAGCTCTCCTGCTCCTGGAATGGGAACAGGAAACACTCCTACAAACCATGGATCAATGGTGATGTGAGTCTGGATATTGAGTGTAAGGCCTACTTTTTTATGTACTGTGTGTGTGCAACAATCCAGTACATTACATCAACATGTTAAAGTCTAAGAAATGTGGAAGATGTAGAAAATATTGTTTTAAAAAGACTGTCTTTTTGGCAGAAACTTCTGGTTAATGTGTTTGATTTTTTTTTTTGAGAACTTTGTTAAATTTTGCATCATTCTACCATGAAGGACATAGTCACATGGGTGAAAATCTTACAATTTTGCATCATTCTACCATGAAGGACAAAGTCACATGGGTGAAAATCTACTTATTACCACTGAACATCATCTGCTGCAGTATAAAACATTTCTGCCCCAGACTGAATTGTACATTGATACTTTTTCATTGGTTTTGCACAGAAATGACCAAATGTTTATATCACACTAAATTTCAACAACATTCTTCTTTAACTTAATATCAGGTGTGCATTTGTTTTACCTGAGTGAAATTCATCACTGCCTCCAGGTAGAAATATGCATTTTGTGTTATTCAGACATTTAAAACAAACAGCTGTCAACACTGCATGAAAAACATGAAATGGTACAAAATTGACTTGGGGATATTGATAAATAAACTGGTCTAGAATAATAAAGAACCCAGATTAGAATATAGCTAAAACACAACAAGTCCAAATGTGCAAATGTATGTGTGATGTGAGGATTGTGCAAAACTCCGGTTTTGTGCATCATGAAGAGAAGCAGCAGCCATGAGTGACCACTGACTTTTGTGCAGATATCTGATGGCATATTCCTCTGTAAGTTATTATAACTTTTATAACCTCCACATTAAAACGGTGGTTTGTTCAATATGCCTTTGTACATTTTATTTCTCCACTTTACCCAGGTTGACAGAACATGTGAAAAGCTCAGGTTTATTTTTCGTTGTCATTTTATATTTTTCTGGAATATAGAGTCCATAAAACGCAGTGCCAGTGCACTCACACGGAGGAAATGGCAGTTTCCGACCGGCCCCCTTTGAAGGCCGTCGGTCCATTATTGCTTCATCCATTCCAAAGCGGATAAATGTTTTCTCTGAGGATGTGTATTGCGCATGCAGATTCCATTAAAACCTCTTTAAAGAGACCTGCGGCCGCTGCACAGGCCCAGGTGTGATGGCTTCACACCTCCGCGGCCCTGCAGACGTCTGAAGTCGCTGCACGGCCGCAGCAGTGCCAGCCGCCGCTGATGGCCTCACCATTCACACGTCCCTCCAGCCTCACCTTTGATCGCCGGGGTATATAGGTCTCAGTGAATCCGTGTAGCCTCACCACAGTCAGCACAGATTCAGTCACTGGACAACAAGCAACCACAGAGGACCATGTCTGCCGTCCATGGGAATATGCGCGTCGGGGATTTGAACCCTTTCCACATGTTTCACGAGGGAACTTTGCAGATGAACGGTGTAGTGAATTCAGGTGGGTGAATGTGGATTTTCCCCACTTTTTTATTTTCAATACATTTTATTATTTTAGCGTTCCATTTAATCCAGCAGGTGGCACTGGTTCTGTGCGTAATTTACGCACAAACTGCGGCTGTGCGCTTCAAAAAGTAACTGTTCTGCTGTGCGTTTCAGATTACGGAGCTTCCGATGTGACAAAGATCTTTACCTCTGCCAATTCCATACCGAGGACGGATAAATGCGTGGCCATACTGACCCACAGGAGGAAGAGGACCAACTTCACCCAGCAGCAAATAGAGGTCCTGGAGAAAGTCTATGCAGACACCAAGTATCCTGACATTTACCTGCGGGAGAGGCTGGAGGCACTGACGGGACTACCAGAGTCCAGGATTCAGGTAATGTACAAAGAGACTCTAAAAAAAAAGAAGAGAAATAAACTTGAGTGTAAAAGTGTATTCCTGCTAGAACATTTCATAGCAGCTAATAGAAACTTTTCTCTCACAAATTCCAGGTTTGGTTCCAGAACAGACGGGCCAAATCCCGCCGCCAGGTGAATTCCTCAGTGTCCATGAAGGTCAACAATCCACCAACAGCTGGACCTTTCACCCAGCTCCAGAACAGGATGAGCACAGACAAAGGTCAGTCCTTCTGTTTCCTTCTTCTAATTTACCATAAAAGGTTTTGTCTCAAACCATACATGGTATTTTAAAGTATTCTCTTTTGTATTACAGTCTTTGACAACAACCACAGTGCAGACCTACACAGGAAAGGGGTGTTTGGAGTTGAAGACAGTTTTAGACCATCTCTGCATCAAATCAGCGAGGACCATCACAGGACCAGTCTACCCACCGAACCCAGTTGCTACGAACACACATCTGTCTCCTGCCTCTTTGAGAAGGAAGGAACCAGAGTGAAGCCTGAGCAGATGCATCAACACGAGCTGAGCGTGAATGTCCCCTGCTGCAATGTCCACCTGTTCCCAAAGGAGAATGAGCACCACCCAAAGATGGAGGCCAATGTGGTGGACAACCAAGGTTCACAAGTTCTGGTGGAATATGATAATTTCCCACCCAACAAAACCATCGGACCGGAGATGAAAGTCGTGATTCCTCCTCTCCCGAACCACAACAACTTCAACAGGTCTTCGCCTAAGGAGAACGGATGTCCACTGCAGTACCAGCAGATGAGATCCACAGTGGACGGGTTCAGTCACTTTTCTCCACTGCACGGCACAGAGGCCCAGGACTTTACAGATTCTGATTCTGACTGGGAGAACGAGGCCATTGCTGGCTTTGGTGGCTTTGTGTGATTGGGGTGATCAAGAGAACATATATGAAGGAAATCATGAAATCTATACATCATGTGTATCATAATGAAATCTATACATTTGTTTGTATGTATTTATTGTAAATAGTAATAATAGTGTGAAATGTCTTAAAGTAAGTACAACAATAAAAAGAAGAAAAACATTTCTTCTTGCAATATTGTTTAATATAAAAGAGAACATTTATGTACAACTGCCCTGAGGCACTTTCATATACAACTTTACAAAACCGAGAAAGGAGATCCCCCAGGATCACATTTGATTTGAAGATTCAGGTTACATTACAATGAAAGCTGTGTATGTATGTGTGTGTGTGAACGAGGACGTAAGCTGATGCAGCAACAGCCATGCTGTACATGGTAACGTTAAGATCCTCTAACTATGGAAAAGGCATCAAACCCCTGGAGTTCTCCTTTATAAAAATACCAAAAAATATTTTTTCAGTGCACACAAAATTACAAAAAATTATTTCTGAATACAGAGCAGAAATGATGACAACCATCCTAATGATCAGAATTATTGTACAATTATCTACAATAAATCTTTTTTTTAATATAAAATATTCCTTAGCCTCCCCTGTGCTAACTGTCAGAAAGCAGCACTTCAACATGGGGGTCAACTTTATCATTTAGCAAATTGTTGTTTTGCAACCATACACACACACACACACACACACACCTACTCAGAAATAAATAAATAGGAACTATAAAAACTCTAAGAATTAATATTTGGCACGTGAGACCAATAAATAGCTGCAGGGAGTCGAGAGAAGTGGATCGGCAGCAATAGAAAAGTTAGAACTTTCAGTTTTTGGGTGTGGTTCGGTGCACAAACATTTTCTGATTCTAAAAAGGTTGGGTAAAACACTCATGACACGACATTCTCCCTTTGTTCTGCAGGGCCTCTGGTTTTCAGGAACCTGGGTGGTGTCGTTTTATGGGGACATAATGTTGAAGGTGATCTCCAATGTTTTTTCTTTAAAGTCAGTCCAACAAGTGACAGTAATGCAGCACTGTCTCATTAGACAGAATAACAGAAAACGATCAAGTTTTCCTGCAGCTGCGTTTGTGGAGAGGGGGCTGCAGGAACTCAGACTGCATTGGTGTTATTGGCAGCAAATGCGTGCAGGTTGCCCAGCTGACTAAGGCCACTCTGGATGTGTGCCACGTGGATCTCAACATTATTCTGAAAGCAACTAGACAGGAGAGGTGATGATGAGTTATGATCAACAGTGGGAAAAATACTGAATTTGTCACATACAGTTTTTAATCTCAAAACTTTTTCATACACAACTAAATTAGTAAACCACTAATTAAGTCTCTTACCTGAGGTTGGACGGATCAATGGATGCTTTTATATCATCAAGTGAGTCTGTTAAGGATTTAAACTCAAATGAGTTCAAGTCCCCTCCATCTGCCAAACACTGAAAAGATAATGTTGAGTAGAACAACAAGGCTTAGTTCGTAAATAAGGCCAGTATTTTTTTAAAATTATTTTTATAATTAATTTTTATTTCACTTTACTCAGAAATGAAAAACACAAATATAAAAGCTAACATACACCGGTAACACACACCTTGATCTGTAGGAGCAGAGCAGTGAGACGGGAGATGAGCTGTGTGAAGCTGGGGTTTGCCACACTTTGCGAAGCGTCCTTCAGTTGCACCATCTGTTGAGCCTCTTCC